CTGTAGCAATAAATTAAATTAAAAAAAATATTTTGTAAGCGACTGCAAAAAAAAATAAAAATCGATTTTATTTTCGATGAATTCAGGAATCTGAACGACACTACACAAAGTTAGTCGCAATCTGGAAAGTATAGAACCTCATGGTGCTAGGTGACATTGAAATTTCGATATCACGATATATCTTCAAGAAATCATGATATATCATGATATATCGATATTTCATTATATACGCAATATTTTTAAGCTACCTATTATTCATTATTTTTACATTTATTACATATATTTGTCAACCAATTTAATTTTATCAATGCAAGAACGATAATCGCGTGTTTAATTATAATTATTGTTATCTATAATTTTCACGATATTATCATATTTGATATTTATCGTTGCTGATAATGATCGCAGTATTGTTAAATTCCATAATTATTGTTAATACTCGTGACGTTGCCGTATTCGATAGTTTTCATGATATTATCGAGTCTCTTAAGGTGAGTTGACTAGCATAGTTCACAAAGAAAGAGAAGAAAGAAATTTGCGAACAAATTTACAGGTGCAAAACTAAGGCAAACAACGTTAAAGAGCACAGAAATATTTATAAAATACAGACAGCTGTTTCGGATGCTCAAAGGGCAACCTTCATCAGTGCAACAAAAAGAGACTGTTACTGGTGGTTTGGTATTTTTAGGGGGGGGGGATATATTTCAAATGTCGGTAATCAGAATGTTAACAGCACAGTTTCTTAACTAAACACATCTGCATCTAATTAGCTCTTTTTATTCCGTTAAATACGGATATTCCACAATTTTTCTAAGTTACTTTTTGTTTAGAATTTCTTAAGCTCGAATTTTAGCTAAGTTTATTTTTGTAGACAAAATCGTGCACTAAAGACATGTATAATTTTTATGTGAGGAAGTAGAGAAGTAAACTAAAAGACTTTGTGGTAAGATTTTTTTTAAATGATTGATTTGTTCTCTCTGACATTTTTAACACTAGAAAGACTGAAAATTAGTGTATACCTATATTTCTCAAAAGAAGCGAAAATGACATGATTGTGAATGTGTAAAGAAATTTGTTTAAAATTAATTTTTAGTATTTTTTTTATATTATTTACAGTTTCGTAACAAGTTATTAGTAAATATTAGAAATTAAAAAAAATTATATGCTGTACAAAAAGTCACGAAATTCTAAGAAATTGTGTCATTATATACATCATTGTATATGAGGGTTGTAAATTAAATAATGGCAACTTAACCTTGAAACTCACAGAAGGGCGGGCATGTGCAAATTGAATACGGGAGCGGTGAGGTAGCGCTGTTGTCGATGTGTAGAGTGCAAAAAAAGGTCGATTTGCTTAGAAGGGTAGTTGTTGTGTGGCGTTAAAGTGAGGAGTTTCGTTTCCATCTCTCTAAAGCATGTTTTCAAAAGATGATCAGCGGTCGTGGCTTACAATCGAGGTTGCCCGTGGCAAAAAGGCAACAGAATGCTATTGAGGATTAGTGGAAGCCTGTGGAGCAAATGTTTTACCGTATAGGACAGTAGCACGATGGGTTCAAGCATCTCGTCTTTTTTTGTCATTAAGCTTTTTCACAACATGCTTTAGAGCGATGGAAACGAAACTCCTCACTTTAACGCCGCGCAACAACTACCCTTCTAAGTAAATCGACTGTTTTTTGCACTCTACACATCGACAACAGCGCCACCGCACCCATACCATATTTACGTAAGCCCGCCCTTCTGTGAGTTTCAAGGTTAAGTTGCCACTATTTAATTTACAACCCTCGCACATCTAATTGAAATTAAAAGCAGTCAAATTGACTTCCTTAGGCAATCTAGTGTTAACAGTGTTACTGAATCATTGTAACAACTACCTTTCTTCAAAAGTTGAAATAATACGAACCTTAAAGATACAGAAGTTGGACAAAATTATGATAACACTTCTGTACTAAATTATTGTTCAAACTCCTCAAGAAATACTTTGAGAATTATTTTAAACTTCAGAAATGTTTAGGTTATACCATTTCTTGTGCATATCAAGATATACATACATTTAGAGGTTTGGGGGACAGTAAATAATTTACTAAAGTAAAATAAAAATAAAAGAACGCTTTTGACCACCCCATGTCACAATTTAGAGCATTAAATTTGTAACTCGTATCAATTACTTTGGATACCATATGCAATAACTGCATGCAATTTTGTAAATCTAGCTTAAATATTTACACCGATATAGACATTTATATGAAAAAAAAAACTAATTCTGTCTTACTATAACTGCAGAAATATTCAATAAAATTAAACAAAGTTTTTTTGGTAATTTTTAATTAATAACAAAAATATTATTTTAAAATTTAAAAAATATTAGTAAAACATTGCCCAAGATATGAGAAGTCCTTTTATACTGCGCATGCACTGGAAAAAATTTTTAAAACAAATTTATTTTTTCATAATTTTTTTGTAAATCATATTTGTTAACTTTTGAAAAATGTCCGATTTGAATGTTGTTGTTGGCGTATGGCAGAGGAGGTGCGATTGTTCTTGTTTTCTGTGGCCAAGAATTCGACTTATGCCACACCATACGTCACACCCGTTTGTTGGGCGAACCCATTCCTACATCCATTCATTCATCCACAGATCGTAATTTTTAACCTGAATCAGAGAACGATCGATCTCCAATCCTGTACCACCCAGAGGTATTGATTCCGGTCCGTCAGAGAGGTCCGATTTGAATATCTTGAATATGTAAAAGTTCCTTCCAAGTACCCTTTGTACTTTTTTAAAAAATCTCTAAACGAAAATGATTTTTTCCACTAGTTACTTAATAAAATTTAATAATAAATTATAATAGCCCACAATGACTGTCCTGAAAACAAAATGTGATTGTTTAAAGAGAGAAAAGATGTTAGGTAAAGCATACTTCAATCGGAAACGGTTCCATATAATGCTGATGCCTTTTAGAATAAATATTGTTTAATAGTACAAAATAAAATTTGAGAAAAACCCCTTATTATTCACAGCTTTCTTTCCAAGTTTACACAAACTACTTGAAAAATTATTAAAAACTTTGCAAATTTTCTAAATCGGATTTTTTTCAAAAGTTAACAAACAAAATTTTAAAACAAAATTTAAAAAAAAAAAGTTAATATTATCCGTGCATACGCAGTGTGAAAGGATTACTTTAAATGCTCAAATCTTTCTCAATTATAAACTATTTTTTTATTCAAATTCTGCAGTTATATTCTGCAGCAAATATTTCAGCAGTTATAGTAAGTAACATAAAGCAAAAAGGATTCTTCTTTTATAAAAATGTTTATACTAAATGTCCACGAAGCTGGGTTTACGAAATTTTGTGCAGCTCTTGCATATGATAACCATAATAATTGATACAAGTTACAACCTTATCGCTTTTTTTTTGGCATAAGGTGTTCAAAAACGCTGTTTTTCGTTCGTAATTTATTGCCTGTCCCTCAAACCTTTGAAAGCTTTAAAATTTATGGATAAGTATGAGAAATCGCATGACCTAATTCGCAAGAGTTATAAAAGTAACTATCTGAATATTTCTTGAGAAATATGAAAAACAATGAGTTAGAATATAAGTGTTTCTATATTTTTGTCCAAAACCCTGTATGTATTCCACAGTCTTTGCCAAAAATATCAAACTACATGGAGGTATGATATCTGCATATACGCGAGGTTTGAAGAATTGAATTTGGAATTATTCATTCATAAAGTTTAAAAGAATAGTTCGAGTTCTGTCATTTGATTGAAAAGATGCAAGATATCGCGTCACTAATTATAAACTGTGAGTGAATAGGCGAAGTTTTCATTTCGCTGCTGCTTCTTTTACTAATCTCCTGCAAAAGAAATGTTCAGAAAAGGTTTTTAAATCAAAATAAAGTTCATATCATTTCGTGACACTCAATTTATATTGACAAACAAAGGCATCTTTACCGTTTCAAAAGAAGTCAAAGAAATTAAAAATACATCAATAAAATCTAACTAGCCGAAACCATTTAAAACAAACTTCTGGTGGATCTCTTTATTTGCTGATGGCTCAGGTGAAGTGTAACGTAAAGTATGTAATTATATAATTTTATACAGTTTCTATGGTATTTTTATGCAATATGGTACTTTTTTACATTAGTTCATTATAAATTTTAATCGTAATAATTTTATTAATATAAATAAATATGAATGCGATTTTTTTCTTAAAATTTTTTTAATAATTTAACTGTCATACTAATTTAGCAAAAAAGGGCATACACATATTGCATTTTCATAAAGCATATCCAATTCCCGTAAGTGGACAATTATCTAGATCTTGAACGCTTCCGCTTTGCATATATAAGCCTTTTATGGAATTGCAGAATATTTTGCATCCAAAGTTGCTATTTCGTTAAGATTTTAACAAGTTGCAGCACGGTTTTAATTTGACGATCGTTCTCAGATCATGTTCGTTTTTTCTTTTTAAAATTGTTTATGACTATCATATGAAATTGAGCATCACAGTTCTATATTTGAAAGCAAAAATTATCAAATTTAATCTCAATTTTCTCATGAATACATTGTAATGTTAGACACTCTAAGGACGGATATATCAATGATTTTCCTAGGTATCTGAAAAAACCAGACGGCTGTAGTCGTCATTTGCGGCAACGTCTAAACTTTAAAGATTAAATTAAATTTTTTTTAAAAAAAAACAGTTAAATTACACATTCCTTGATAAAAAATAAAAAAACAGTTGGTTTTTCCTGCTTTTAAACACTTTTGAAAAATTTCATTAATTTCTAAATTTTAATGTGGAAAAAATTAATATATAGTTTTCTTTTTGCGATTCATATCATATGATATAAATAAAATATGGAATAATATAAAATGTGATTTAAAAAATTTTTGAAGAGCATATATAAGGAACATTTGATATGTTTGCTCTTCCCCAAAATTGACAAAACTTCAGCTGTTATTAAAACAATTTTTTTAAAAGAAAACAATTTTATTACCTTGGATAGTCCGAATCATCTAAGCATATCTCTTCAGTCAACCTATCACATCTTGGTCCCACTGCCCATTCTGCAGGTTTGAAGGAATAACTAGGCTTTGTCATTGGTTCAGAGTTTTTTAAAGACCCGACATAATTGGTTGATGGTGACTTCTTATTCACTCTCTGCATGTTTATTGGATGGCGCTTATATTCATGATAGCGTGATGGAGCGTTTACCACTTCTTCGTTCTGAAGAAGTGAAAGTATAGCATTATCGATCATATTTTCCGTCAGTTGCGGATCATCGAATGTGGGCTCAGATGAATAGGAATGCTTAAATCTCCCAAGTATAAGTGGTATTAGCTCTCGTGGTAATTCGGGTAATGGCACAACTTTACCTCTTAAGATCCGTATGATTGGCATGGAAGATTTCGAGTGAGAAGACTCATGACTCTCATATGGACTGACAACAATGCCGAATTGGCGTTGTTCGGCTGATGCCAGTCTTTCTGGAGAGCTTCGAGCTGTGGATTGCTCCTCTGATATGCTTATGTCTGATGAGTTACTTGAAGAGTTGTCGATATTGATGAGACTATGCAGTAACCTGGTTGCGATTATGTCCCTCAACAAAGATGAGTTCTGCAAAAATGTCTCATAATTGTACTGGTTACGGTTACGAGTTTGAGCCTCCTTTTCTAAATTATCACTCATATTTCTGAACATGAATTGTCTTTCTACTCGTATTTTTTCGGCTATTGGTGAAGTTATGAAATCTGAGAAGGACATCACATCGCCATCTAAGCTTTCATGAAAAGATTGTTTCAAGCTATCAGATTTCACGTTTTTGATTGTTGAACTTTGTGTTGAAGTTTGATAATCAAGACTGACATTTGAAATTGGTGTCACTGGAGTTTGTTCTTGAAATCTCAATCTTTTTGAATTCCGCAATTTTCTATTTCTACCTTTCCTTCTGGTTCTGGTTCCAAATTCTTTCCAACTTTGAACATTTTTAGCCATTATTTCCTCGTCAGTAGGCGCTGCATTTTTGAAATGATCGACATTTTGATCTTGAAAATTTTCGAGATCTTCAGGATCAACAGCATCATCGTGTGCGCTGTGCCCAAGGCTTTCAGAATCGTAAGCATCTCTTTTTCGCCTTCTGGCATTCACTTTATCCTCATCATGTTGAAGAGATCTTGGTCCATATCTAGGCCGATTCGTTTGCGGTCTCACTTCATTTACAGTGATCTGGTCTGTGAGAACTATGGATGGTCTTCTGATCAATTGATTTTTAATGTCATTAGATTTTGCACTTAATTCAAGTGGAGGTGTTTCAACGACAACATTCTTATTAGGATCGTTTTGCCTGAACTTTGTATTTATCTGCTGATCATTGCCATTTTCAGAATTTTCTTTGGGCAACAAACCCTTTTCTTGATTTTTAACAATATTTGGAGTTTCGTAGTCTGGATTTGTCGTCGTAGAAGTGGGATTTTGCTTCTCGGGACCCTTTCGAACTAAAACAGGACTTTCAACTGTAAATATTTTATGATTCAAACTCTGACCGTTGCTAATTTGACTTCCTTGTTGGTTAAAATAATTCCGACGATCTTGACTATGAGCTGGTATGTTTATTTTTTCCCTAGTACCGTCACTCTTAACTCTGACGGCTACAATGGGCCTGTGAAAACTAGGGTTATTAAATGTATGTTGTTGGTAATTTGGCACAAATATTGGCGGAACATACTGCTGAGAAGGTATGTTCAAAACATCGGGAATATATGGTTGGCGGTTATCCCTTACGTCTTGACGCCTCTGCAAGATTTGAGGATTTCTCACTGGTTGATTTTGGGAAACAGCATTGTAATTTGGTGTTCGGTACCTTAAGTCTGGATGATAGCTTGCGGGATGTTGTCGATTTGGTTCCCTAGCACTGGTGGAAACAGTTTTGGTATATTCAGGGTTTTGTAACTGAGTAGAATCGGTTGGTGTTTGGCCGAGTTTTCGAATTCTTACTGCTGTTTTGCTATTATCCAATCCAGCACTGACAATAAACTCTGCAGCCGTATCACCCGGACTACCATAATGAACTGGTCTTTGGCGTAAATGTTCTCTAGTTATTATAACTGTTGGCAATTTTCTGCGATTACTGTTTTGAGATTGTACTTCTTGGGTGAAAGCATTTATATACAGGATAGAAACAATTAGTGTTATCCAGGTTGGCTGAAACAAAACAAAAAGAATTAAAATTAAACCATGTTAAAATAAAATAAAAGCTATTTAAATTTTTTAAAAATAGTTGCGAAATGAAAAAATGTATAGTTCTAAATTTTACTATAAAACTATATTAATTTTAGACGCATTTACCTATAGGTTCTCGTATTCTAATTAAATTTAAAACTTACGCTACAAAACGCAAATAAAGTCATAGATTTTACAGTTTTATAGTGATTTAGAAATTATTTTTCTTTCACCAACTCTCATGTTAACATTTTTTAAAGAGTGAAAAAAATCATTCGATATTGTTAAAATTAGGAACTGAAACTAATATTTTAATCTTTCAAACACCGTATACCCAGTTCAAGACCACTTATTTCGAAAATACTAGAAACCAGTAGAAATAGTGAACTATTTGCTCTGAATTGTCCCATTCTTTTTGACTTCTCCATCCATCTCCATCATCACTCTCATCCGAACTCCCTCTTACAGCAGAGAGGATAAAAGCGAGAAGCAAAAATCCTCTTCTTCACCCAACCCAAAAAAGATCCTAATAACCACTATGGACCTAAAATATTTATTTATATAACACTTTCATCGCGACAATAGCGCGGCTTTTTCCTACTCTCTGCGCTACAAGTTCCACTTTTAGCTCTGAAATTGAAAGAAAAGAGGACAATATATCTCGTTGCTATCGAATAAAGATTTCCCGTTGAAGACGATATATCTCTTCCTTAGCGAGGAAAAGTGTTGAAATATACTATCCACGATTGCAGTTGTTGAGATATTTGATTAAAGTTGTTGAGTTATTAAATTTACTAAATTCTAAAAATTTAAATTAAGTTTTCACATTTTTTTTTAACTGGTGAATGTGAAAGCTCCTAAACGAAACTTCGCATACTGACAATTAAGGGAGAAAATTTACTTTTGTTGAGAAAAAGAAAACGAAATGAAAACAAGCCATACTATCAATTTATGTGAAAAGCTAGACTGAGTTTTCGGAGAATAATAATTGTAGTAAATACAAACCTTAAATAACCTAATATTAATTTGTCGCAAAACTGTTATTGCATCTGCATCTATACTTTTATTTTGTGTATACGGTAAAAGTACTAAATAACATTAACGAAGTCTTATAAGATTTTATTAATAACAAGTTAAGGCACGAATAAACATTGATAAAGTTGTTTTGCCGTTCATAACTAGCCGTTCAAGATAACTTGCGGATCACCTTATGTGTGTTTTAACTAGTTAAATGTCGTTGTAGTTGAAAGTAACTTAAATCAAATTTGTTAAAACAGGTATTAAGCATGAATTCAAAAATTATACTGCCACGTTAAATATAAAAATAAAATCTTCCAAAAAATTCGAAAGAGTTTGCAGTTGGCCAACTAAAATTGAAATGTTTTTAATACCAGTTTTTAATTTTTTTTTCCGTTTAGTTTTCAATCCTGGGTCTCGAAATGGGGAACTTTATCAAATCATGTTTTATCTTTATTTTAAATTTAAATCTACAATCAATATTTCTAATGTTATGAATATGTTAAAAACGTCAATTCGTCGTATTGAATTTTTTCATTGTTTTATTATTTCACAAGAAAACGTCTTGATTTTTATGGCTACCACAATGTTTGCCAAATCAATGTATTTTACCTTACTGTATGTAATTTAATGATGAATGGGATAGGAGCCGCTTCGCGGCCCACGTGTCCAGTTTATTTAAATAAAGCAAGCAAGCAAATGTGGAATTTTGAGTTTAATGGGTTAATTTGCAGATTAATCTCGCTGCAAAATAGGATAAGAACTATAACAGGCCTGATAAGATCTTAGAGAAAATCACTAAATAGTTCATAAGGTTTCTCAGGGCTACTGATTACTTTTATTTACTTCCACTTGAGTATTCCAAAATTATTTTTTGATCTACATTTTCCCTATAATTTGACCTATATTTTCATTTTCAACTATATTTAATCTTTAATTTTATTTTGGTAGATATGTAACTTAAGGTAGATATGCAAATAATTACTTAAAACGTCAATAATTTTCTCAATTTTGCTAACACGAAAGTATTTTCCAGATCACAGTAATCCCACCATTGCATGTTAATCATGCACTTACACATATGTTTAATTTATTTTTCATGTATTAGTAGTCAAAATTATTAAAAACTTAATTTATTTATCTAAGAATTATATATAGCATAGAATTAATTTGCTAATTTAAAATGCGCAGCCAATTCTTTAAGAAAAATCAGTGAAAAATTATAGCTGTGACTTTTCTAAGATAGAAACAATAAAAAACTTAATTGGTTAAGTTTCCCCTTAGTATATTTTCATTTTTTTCTCGTTTTAAGTGGATATTAAACATTATACATTTCAAAACAATAAAAATTTAAAATGGTAACTTAATAACTTTCTTAATACCAATGTCTTACATAATGTTATCATCTTCGCACAAAAAAAAAATCGTAATATTTCTCGACTTAAATGGAGAAAGGAACTGGTTTACTACGTCCTCCACCTTTGCAAGCCTCCTCAACAAAAGGTTCATTGGTCACTTGCCCTTCTGAAGTGAAAACTTTCACTTTTTGGCGGAGGCAGATAACGCCATGACAAAAAACTCTTTAAACTGGTCTCGCCAGAGGTCGTCAGACCATCGCCAAATAACTAGAATACTATTTAAAGTCTAGAAAAACAATAACATTAATTCCAACTAGATAAGTATTTTTTTCAGCGGATCACCGATGCGAGAATGAATATAGTTACTTATGCACGCAAGTCAGGTTCAATCAACTAATAAAAATCAAGTAAAAAAAGTTTGTTTTATATTTATAAACAAAAATGCTAACAAAATTATCAGGTTTAAGAATTAAGATTAAGTCTTCTTTCAGGTTTAAGAATTACATTTTAATAAGAATGTTTTTTTTTTGCTATATGTTTTGCAAAGTCTGAAATTATGGCCACATTGGAAATCATTAACGTAGCTAAAGTGCCATTACCTACCAACTTTTTTCGAAATTCATTCAAAGTTCAATTATTCATTCCTTTATTCAAAAGGACAAAGTTCATTTATTTTTAACTCTTTAAATTATTAACACCACCTTCGTTACCACTAAGAAAAATATCAGGTCACTGCAAAATTCACGCCGATTTTCGAGCTCCTTAAGGGCCCGCAAAAATTTTCAAGTGGTAGTAAACTGCTCATAAGCGCTTTCTTAATTTTGCAACCACTGCAATTTAGATAATATTTACCTACATGTATCAGACTTCTATGTTTACAATTATTTTCCAAATCGTTGTGGTATCAAGAAAATTTAACGATCCAGTTTTTAAAACACGAAATATGTTTTATAGTACAAATTTTGATATCACCTGAATATTTTAGACGCACACTCGAGAGCTCCGCCTATCGAAATTCGACACGAACTTTCCGGATGACGCAATATTTTCTGAAACTAGGGAAATTCCGTATTAGTTGGAGGGTGTGTAAGATTAGGGTTTAAATATGCATAATAAGGTGTGAGCTAATTGAATAGTCCGTCTATTTGAAATCCAGCTGCCAAGAATTATTTCGCGATGACCCAGGCTATTTGGAATATTTCCGGTATTCTAGAATCAGAAATTAATGGGCTTTGTCTCATACGAGTCTTTCTATATTAAATCATAAGCTTAATATAGATTTCTCTTTCTAAGTTTAAGACGTAGAAATCGTTCTCTCACAAAGAGCCATAAAAAGTCAAAATGCCAATTAAAAAGATTATTTTCTGAAGTGAATGGGTAATAATTTTTAGAAAAATACGCATTAAGAAAATTTCGAAAATTCCCTATCGTCAGTATGGCGTCATCTTCGGAACATATCAAGATCTCTAAATTTTCCCATTTGAATAACGTTTGATTAAGTTAAGGATATTCTTGCAACCAATTCCCTTTCCGAATCCCTCTTTAAATAGCAGGAGCCTTCAAAAATGCTTGGCTTTTTCATATTTTCATTGCTAGATAAATCTGTGCCAAATCTCAACATTCCTGCCATGGAAACTCACCATTGTAATCCATGCAAAAATCCGAAGCAAGCTGTTAAATAAATTTAATATGAATTAATACGTTTATTTTTGGTCGATAGTAATTATTTACAACATGTAGTTTCCAGGATTTTTTTCATAAGGGTTTTCAAATTTTACAGGAAAGTGACTACCTGCATTACAAAATGGAAAAGTCGTCGGATACTGCTTACAAACTAGAGTGAAAGTGTGGTTGGAAAAGAGGAAAAATAGTAATACTTGCAAATAGTAAAACTTGCACATTAAGGATGTTTACGCCCACTCTCTAAAAGTACCCCCTCGAGATAACTGAAATAAAGTAGCATTCATTTGATACTCTAAGTTTTTAGTATGTTGTAGCGGAAAAATTACTTAACACCAGGTTTACGGACGTTTCTTATATTCCTCTACGAACATGCGCCAGTTTGACGTTTGAACGAATACACATAATAGCACTTACAGAGATGCCAACTTTCTCCGGGCAGCAAATATATATTTTAAAGTGGTAGTTTATTAATTATGATTCTTGGTTTAGTAAATTAAATTTAGTAGATTTTTATCCATCACTATTTCTAAATAATTCGTAGGCTTATATAGTTCATATAAATATTTGCAAAATTTACTTAGTAGTTATTTACCGTTTTTTTAATAATTTTGCGTGTCCGGAGCAGGTGGCATCTCTGCACTTAGAAAGCTATGTAATTATATACTACAAAAAAATATGTGATATATATTTATAAAATATTCTAGTATTTTATTTTTCAATACACGAACTAAGCAACTGAAACCTTCAAAATCTGACACTCTGACATCAATTGACATTCTGTGTTTGATCTTTCTATTATTGCTTATCAGCAACAGTTGTTTATTGCTTGTTTCATTTGAGATAACGATATCGGATAATGGATCGAAGTATTGTCGGTTCATTCCTATTTATTATTGATGTAATGTTTGCATGTTTACTCAAAAT